TACAATCGTAGCAGGATACTTCAACATCCCGCTGACATCTCTGAATAGATCCTCTAGACAAAAAATTAACAAGTAAAGAAACTATAAATGAAGCACTAGACCAAATGGATTTAATAGATATCTACAGAGAATTACACCCCAAAACTACAGAATATACATTCTTCTCAAGTGCACATGGAACATTCTCAAAGACAGACCACATGTTAGGACACAAACTAAGTCTCTACAAGTTGAAGAAGATTAAAATTATATCAAGCATCTTCTCAGATCACAATGGCATGAAACTAGAAATCAATTGCAACAAGAACATACAAATATATTTGAACACATGGAAGTTAAATTGCATGTTATTAAACAATGAATGGGTTACTGAGGAGATCAAGGAAGAAATTAAAAACTTCTTGGAAACCAATGAAAATGAACACACAACAACACAAAATCAATGGGATGCAGTGAAAGCAGTTCTGAGAGGGAAGTTCATAGAACTGCAGGCCTATGTCAAGAAACAAGAAAAATGTTTATTAGACTATCTAACCTCACAACTTAAAGAACTAGAGAGCAAACAAAAAGAAAACCCCAGAGCAAGTAGAAGGAAGGAAATATTAAAGATCAGAGCAGAAATAAATGACATAGAGTAAAAAAAAAAAAAAAAAAAACACTTCAAAGGATCAATGAAACAAAGAGCTGGTATTTCAAAAAGATAAACAAGATTGAAGGACGCTTAGCTAGACTCACCAATAAACAACCAGAGAGAACTCAAATACACAAAATCAGAAATAAAAGAGGAGAAGAAACAACTGACATCACAGAAATACAAAAGATAGTTAACAACTACTATCAACAATTATATGGCAACAAATTCGACAATCTAAGCAAAATGGACAAATTTCTAGAAACACATAGTATCCAAAAACTGGACGAGGAAGAGATAGAACACTTCAACAGAACAATAAAAACTAAGAAAAGTGAAGGGGTAATCAAGACTCTCCCAACAAACAAAAGCCCAGGCCGGGATGGCTTCACGGGTGACTATTACTGAACATTGAAAAAAGAACTAACACCCATTCTCCTCAAACTATTACAAAAAATTCAAAAAGAATGAAGACTGCAAAACTCATTTTATGAAGCCAATGTAATTCTAATTCCAAGACCAGAAAAAGACACTACAAAGTAGGAAAACTACAGACCAATATCCCTAATGAACATAGATGCCAAAATCCTGAACAAACTACTAGCATATCTGATCCAGCAATACATCAAAATATTATTCACATGACCAAGTAGATTCATTCCAGGGATGGAAGACTGGTACAATATTCACAAATCAATAAATGTGATACACCACATAAATAAAATGAAGAATAAAAACCACACAATCATATCAATAGATGCCGAAAAGCCTTTGACAAAATCCAGCATCCATTTCTGATAAAAACGCTCAGCAATGTGGGAATAGAGGAATCATATCTCAACATAATAAAGGCCATATATGAAAGACCAATAGCCAACATTGTACTCAATGGGCAAAAATTAAAAACATTTTCTTTAAGAAGACAAGGATACCCAAATTCACCACTCTTATTTAACATAGTACTGGAAGTCTTAGCCACAACGATCAGACATGCAGAAAAAATAAAAGGGATACAAATTGGAAAGGAGGAAGTGAAACTTATTATTCGCAGATGACATGACACTACACATAGAAAACCCCAAACTCCATTAAAAATTTACATTTTTAGTAAATGAATTTGGCAAAGTAGCAGGATACAAAATTAACGTCAAGAAATCTATGGCATTCTTATACACCAATGATGAACTCACAGAAAGAGAAACTTAGAAAACACCATTTACCATTGTGGCAAAAAAAATTAAGATACCTAGGAATAACCTTAACCAAAGAAATAAAGGACTAATCGCAGAAAACTACAGGTCATTGAAAAAGAAATAGAAGAAGATATAAAAAAGTGGAAGAACATACCTTGTTCATGGATTGGAAGAATTAACATCATTAAAATGCCCATACTATCCAAAGCAATCTATATATTCAATGCAATCCCTATCAAAATAACAACGACATACTTCACAGAACTAGAACAAATACTTCAAAAGTTCATATGGAACCACATAAAAAACCCAAATAGCCTCAGCAATCTTGAAAAAGAAGAACAAAATAGGAGGGATCACGTTACCAGATTTCAGGTTATACTACAAAGCCACAGTAATTAAAACAGCCTGGTACTGGCACAAGAACAGGCATATAGACCAGTGGAACAGAACAGAGAACCCAGAAATGGACCCAAGGCAATATGCTCAATTAATATTAGACAAAGGGGGCAAGAGCATACAATGGAGTAAAGACACCCTCTTTAATAAATGGTGCTGAAAAAATTGGACAGCTACATGCAAAGAAATGAAACTAGACCATCAACTTACACCATACACAAGAATAAACTCAAAATGGATAAAAGACTTAAATGTGACTCATGAATCCATAAAAATCCTAGAAGAAACTATAGGCAACAAAATTTCAGACAACATACTCAGCAGAATTTTCACTGATACATTACCTAAGGCAACAAAAACAAAGGAGAAAATGAACACATGGGACTACATCAAACTCAAAAGCTTCTGCACTGCAAAAGGTACAATCATCAAAATGGAAAGGCAACGCACTGTATGGGAGAGCATAATTGCCAATAATACATCAGATAAGGGGTTAATTTCCAATGTATATAAAATGCTCTTACAGCTCAAGAAAATGAAGACAAAGAAGCCAATTAAAAAATGGGCAGAGGAACTAAATAGACACCTCTCCAAACATGACATACAAATGGCTAAGAGACATAATAAGAAATGCTCAACATCACTAATCATCAGAGAGATGCAAATTAAAACAACAATGAGGTATCACCTCACACCTGTCAGAATGGCCGCCATCAACAAATCATCAAACAACAAATTTTGGCGAGGGTGTGGAGAAAGGGGACTCTAGTACACTGTTGGTGGGAATGCAGACTGGTGTAGCCACTATGGAAATCAATACGGTGTTACCTCAAAAAATTAAAAATTGAACTTTCATTTGACACAGTGATCCCACTTCTAGGAATATACCCTAAGAAGCCTGAAACACCAGTCAGAAAGAATATATGTACCTCTTGTTTGTAGCAGCACTATTTACAATAGTTAAGATCTGGAAACAGCCCAAATGTCCATCAGTAGATGAATGGATAAAATAGCTGTGGTACATGTATACAATGGAGTTCTATGCAGCTGTAAGAAAAAAAGATCTTGTATCCTTTGAGATGACATGGAGGGACCTGGAAAGTATCATCCTAAGCGACACAAACCAAACAGAGAAATACAAGTATCATATAATCTCACTTATTTGTGGAACATAATGAACATAACAATCTGAGGAATGGAGTAGTCCCAGAGATGTGGAAGTAGGGTACAGACTGATAATCCCCAGAAGTGGGGGTGGTGGGGGAGAGATAAACCACAGAATTTATATGCATGTATGTATGAACAATACACATGGACAACAAAGCTGGGGACAGGGCGGGGAGGGAGGTGCAGGGGGAATCAGTGGGGGAAAAGGAGAAACATCTGCAACAAAAATAAATTAAGTAATTAAAAAACAGTTTCAGTATAAATTCTAAGTAATTGTAGAATTTGTTCAATTGAAATAAAAGAAATTATGGCAAGGCAGAAGAAATGTCTTCAGAACAAACTTCAGTGGTAAATTAAATACATTTGTTTTGCATTTTAATGACAATGAATTTCATGTACCTAGAATTATATGGTTTGTAAAGTAGTACTATACACATTATATCATAACATTGTTATATTTCAATTCATGAATAATATTCCCTATTATTTTTTAAGTAAAAAGATTGCAGCCCCCCCAAAATGAATGAATAAATAAATAGATAAATAAAATAAAAACGAAAACAAAATACTCGTATATACTTGTTTACATTTTAAAAAATTATAACATTTTAAATGTGTTCTTGGCATTTTGCAAAGTGTAAGCCATAAAGCCTATATCTGAAAACAAACAAACAAAAAAAAACAACAAAAAAAAACAAATCTAAAAACAAAAACAAACAAAAATCCCCACAAATATATGGAACTAAAAAAACCAAAAAAGTAGTTAAAAATATATCCCTGCCCATCAACCCATATCCATCCACCATTCATCCTCAAAAACAATGTTACCTATTTATCTACATCAATTATCTGGTAAAGGGATTTTTATCAGGAGTTCTTTTAAGAAATAAATAATTCAGATGGTCACTCATAACACTCCCTATGTAAAAGCTTTCAGTGGAATTTATTATTTTTTTTTCCTGGTTTAATAAGGACGTGTTTATTTTGAGGAAAAAAGGTCCCAAACATCAGGTTGTTCACAAGAATAACCCACATATCTACTTTAGAAAACAAATCTTAAGACTATTATACTAATTATTTTCCTAGAGGATGCATTTGACATGCCAACTCTCATTCACAAAAAAATACACTGTTACATTTGTGTTGAACAGCCCCACATAGCACTTTTATGTGGGGTATAACACATATCTCTAACTCAAAGCTGCTCTCAGGTGCTACTCAACTAATGAGATTGCCTTTGCAGTTAGGGAAGCAACTGCTGAACTCATATTATGAATGAAATGAACTGTACTCCCTGAATAACAAGAGATTATTTTGGAGACAGTTGATAAAAGCCATACATCCTTTTTATTGTTAAGTCATAAAGAGGTATCAAAATTAAAAGCAAAAATTACAGGGTAAGACTTAACATAACTACTAGGAGGGTCAGAGGAAGTGAAAGTGGGACTAGGTGCAGGACATTATGAATGAATGAACATGAGGGACAAAATGAGGAGAACAGTGAGCATGTGCTGGAGATACTAGGGAGAGGATCTGGTGAAAATTTTGATCTTAGACAAACGCCTAGGTAAAGAAATAATGGGACATGATTTCTAACCCCCGCTATGTGCTTAAGAGTCATCCTCGCCATTGGCGCTGTCTCTGTCATCCTCTCCTTCCTCAGCCTCTTCTTCATCATCCTTGATCAACTCCAGTTGTGAGAAACAGACACAAATAGGATGGAGTTAGAGGCACTCCATGTGTCCCTGATCCCCCCTCCACCACCTCTTTCTTTCCTTTCCCGTGGTTTTCACCTGGTCATCCCCCCGATCTTCATTATCATCATCATCCAGTAGGTCCCCCTCCTCAGCAGAGTCATCTGCACCCCACTCAGACTCCATCTTCACATTAGGCTCATCTTTCTTCAGGGAGATGCTGATCGGTTCCTCTTCCGATTTATCATTCTTCATCTCTACTGCTTGTTTGCTCTGCTCCTTTTCAATTTTTTCCAGGCTTTCCAGTAGATAATCCACTTTTTGTTTTATTTGGGTCAATTCCTTCTTAATGGCCTGAAGGTCATCTCCTTTCAATTTTCCAGACTTGGAAGAAGATCCTTGCTGTCCACTCTTAGAATTGAAGCCACTTTTGCCCATTCGTGATGTGTTTCCTGATGTACGTTGGCGTTTCGAGGGCACCACAGCCCGAGCAATCGGAGGAGGAGGAGGAACACGCACTGGGTAACTGTACATCCTGGATTTCAGGTTCAATCCCCAGCCCCCGTCAGGGCCTTACAGGAGGCAACCCATCGATGTCTCTCTACCCACACCCATCTTCCTTCCACTCTGTCTGTCATAATAATCCCGTTGAAAGTCATAGTCCAAGTCAAAAGAGGAGCTGAGTAGAGGGGACGGAGAAGGGTGTTCTGGTACTGATCCGTACATCTCCGCTGCAGATCGTTTCACACCTGGTTTTCCTCAGTTCACATTTGGTTCTGTGGCCAGATTAATATCTAAAACCTGGCCAGCAATCATTCTGCCATCCTCTCCTGCCACAGCAGCTCAGGCATTTCTCTCATTAACATATTGCAGGAAAGCAAAGCCCTTATGAACAGAGCAACCCACAATTTTGCCATATTTTGAGAAGATAGCCTGCACATCAGATTTCTTGACCACAAGAGTATTGAGATTCCCAATGAACACATGGGAGTTCATGGAGCGAGGATATGTCTTGTTGATAACATTGCTGGCCATTTTCTTTGATGATAAGGTTCCTCACAACGCCCAAATGTAGCTGAAGATCAAAAAAATCTCACTCAAGCAAAGTTCCACTAACTTATTTATTTCAAGTGATTTGTAACCCAGAGGGAGAAGGGAGAAGAGATTTGATTCTGAATCTCCTACTCCTGGGTTCTACGTGAAGCCGACTGCTGCTCGAGGTCAGCAACGTGTACACAACCGCTCAGCCTTCGTCTCTTCACAAAATCTCAGTGGACTTTCATTGTTCTCTGAATAAAACCTAACATCTTACAAAGAACTGTAAATTTCTGAATATTCATTATCTCCTGGCTTCCTTTTTGTCCTGTTCCTAAACTGTATGCTCCTTTTCACCAAGCTCTAGCCTCAGTGATACCTTTTATAGGTCCAGTTGACACTTTTTAAAATTTTTTCAATTTTTTTATTTTTGTTACAGATGTTTCTCCCTTTTCCCCCACTGATACCCCCCTCCTCTACCCTCCCCACCCTGTCCCCACCTTTGTTGTCCATGTCCACTGTTCATGCACACATACATATAAGTTCTGTGGTTTCTCTCTCCCACCGCCCCCTCTTCTGGGGATTGTCAGTTTGTACCCCACTTCCACGTCTCTGGGCCACTTCTGCTTTTTAAACACAGGATCCTCATTATTCCTTTCATAATTTTTAATAAAATTTCCATTTCATTGGTGTGAGTCCTTGTTATATAACTGGAATGGTTATATATAACACAGGCACTGGACCATGTTAGATTATTAGAAATTTTCTTTAGAAACACAGATGTCTTTTGTTTGCTCACCCTATATATTCTCCACCCAGCTCTATGCCCTGGAAAGCAGACCCTCACCAAGGTGTCATGGACCTTTCTGCTTTCTGGTTCAGATTGAATGGGGAGAAGAATGTGGGAGACAGGAAGAAACTGAGGCAGGAGGATTTACTTTACTGACTGTCTTCATTCAATGTCAATGTTGGTTTCCTGAATCTCTCTAACATGGGTCACATCTCTCGCCAAGCAATCTTCTTCGTGTAGTTACCTCCTCTTCTTCCTTTTTGCCCATTCAAACCTAGCTCACAACTAGCTCTAGACCCAGGATACTTGCACTACCTCTAGTTGTTCTTAACCCTGGCCATTGTTTGTAAATGATCTCTTTATTGCACTCTCCTCAACTGTCCAGTTTGATCCTGTAACTAACTTATCAAATGAACAAATAAAACATAGATGGTGAAGTCAATGATAATGTAATACTGGGACACAAATTATTATAATCAATCAATAGAATGGGTCAATAAAAATGACTCATATGAATAGACATTTTAAAAATTTAAAGCCTATACCTACTAGAAACTGTTAGTAGTGATTGTCAATGGATGTAAAAATGGATGTTAGGAAAGGAATGTACAAAAGCATTATTAATAATGGTGAAACACTAGTTTACAAGCAGTCTCATTAATTCTAAAAATAATTTTGAGAATGAATAAAAGTATCATTACTTTTGAATTGTAGTCTAGCAGTGATCTTCAATAACATCAGAAAATATAACCAAATTATACTTTTTTGAAAGTTAAGAGTATAGTGGTGAATACACAATGCACTATACAGAGGATGTAATATACAATGTTTCACTTGAAACTTATAAATTTTATTACCCAATGTCACCCCAATAATGAATTTAAAAAATAAAAGATCGATTTCCGGTCAAGATGGCGGCGTAGGTAAACGTGGTATCGCGTCCCCCCACAACCACATCAAAGTTACAACTAAACTACAGAACAACCATCATTCAAAACCACCTGAAATCAAGCTGAATGGAAGTCCTACAACTACAGAATTAAAGCAGCAGCCACATCCAGACTGGTAGGAGGGGCAGAGGCGCGAGGGGTGGCGGCTGGCGGCAGCAGCAGCAGCGACGGCAGCGGAGGCGCGATGGGCTGGTCCCACACCCAAGTGTGGCGGATAAAAATCAGGAGGATACCTTGGCTGGGAAGGTCCTTCCTGAGGACTGAGGGGTCCCTGTCCCACACCAGGTGCTCCGCTTAGGGTTCCAGTGCCAGGAAGAGAAGTCCCCATAACTTCTGGCTGGAAAAACCATCAGGAACTGAGGCTCAGGGAAGCTGACGTGGCTGGAGCCCCAGGCAGCTGCCTAAATGGCCGGTGCACAGACTTATCGGACTCTCTCCCTCTAAGCTTGGAGGGGAGGCAGCTCGAGGGGCACCAGAGACATACAGGGAAGAACTGAGCTGTTTGGCACTGGAGTGAGGGTTGGAAAGGGGGCTTTCTCTGGGACAAACGTGCTGTAAGAGGCCTTTGTTCCTTTGGTGAGCCCTTCCCTGGGGCGGCAGACAGTCACCATATCTGGGACTCCAGCAACCTGGCTCACACTGGTGACTCCCTGAGGCCCTTCCCCACCCCACCCAACTTTCAAGCCCACCCAAGCTGTTGCCACTTGCTTAACCATAGGATTGGCCTGTCTTGGATCCTGCTTCAGGTTTTTCGTAAATTCTTTCAAACGAGCAGCATCTGGTCTCAGCGAGCCCCATACCTCTTATTCACTGAAACAAACACAGGGAGGCAGCCAAAATGAGGAGACAAAGAAACAGGTCCCAAATGAAAAAACAGAACAAAACCCCAATAAAAGAACTAAGCAAAATGAAGATAAGCGACCTAACAGATGCTGAGTTCAAAATACTGCTTATAAGGATGCTCGATGAACTTAGTGAGAACCTCAGTGAACTTAGGGAGGGCCTCAAGAGCATAAAAAAGGACCAGTTAGAAATCATGGATGCACAGTTAGAATTGAAGGAGGCATTAACTGAAATAAAGAATAATTTACACAGCTTCAATAATATAGTATGTAAATCCAAGGAGCAAACCATCGATTTGGAATATAAGGAAGCAAAAAATGCCCAATCAGAACAGCAAAAAGAAAAAAGAATCCAAAATAATGAGGATAGTGTAAGGAGCCTCTGGGACAACTTCAAGCGTGCCAACATTTGCATCTTGGGGGTGCCAGAAGGAGAAGAGAGAGAACAAGAAATCGAAAACCTGTTTGAAACAATAATGGCAGAAAACTTTCCTAACTTGGTGAAGGAAACAGACATACAAGTCCAGGAAGCACAGAGAGTCCCAAACAAGATGAACCCCAAGAGGCACACACCAAGACACATCATCATCAAAATGCAAAAGGTTCAAGACAAAGAGAGAATCTTAAAAGCAGCAAGAGAACGGCAGCTAGTTACCTACAAGAGAGTTCCCATTAGGCTGTCAGCTGATTTCTCAAAAGAAACTTTGCAGGCCAGAAGGGAGTGGCAAGAAATATTCAGAGTGATGAAAAGCAGGAACCTACAACCAAGATTATTCTATCCTGCAAAGCTGTCATTTAGAATTGATGGCCATATAAAAACTTTCCCAGACAAGAAAAAGTTAAAGGAGTTCATCTCCACCAAACCGTTATTATATGAAATGATGAAGGGTCTTTTTGAAGAAAAAGATAAAATATATGAACAAACAAAATGGCAATGAATGCATATCTATCAACAATGGAATCTACAAACAAAATGAACAGGTAGAACAGAAACATTCTCATAGATACAGAGAACATTTTGTTGGTTGCCAGTTGGGAGGGGGGTTGGGGGAATGGGTGAAAAAGGTGAAGAGATTAAGAAGTACAAATTCATTGCTAGACTGAAACCTCAAAGGGAAAAGTGTTGGGGGGGTGGGGTGGAAAGAAATAAACCAAAGAACTTATATGCATAACCAATGGACACAGACAATGGTGTGGGAAAAGGCAAGAGGGGGGCGGGAGTGGGGGGGAGGGGGTCAATGGGGGAAAAATGTGGAACATCTGTAATATATTTTACATCCAACAATAAAGATTTTAAATAAATAAAAATAAAATAATAATTTGCTAATCATATGCAGTTTCACCTGGGAAACCCAACAGAAGCAGCTGTAAAACAAAAATGGACACAAATAATTAGTAAGCTCAATAACAGAGTTGATAACAAAGTTTGTGTACCATCAATGATATTCTTATATACTCTCAAATGACAGTGTAAGAAATGTAATGCATTCCCACTTTCAATAGCAGTAACTAAAAACAATAGCACTCAATTCCTGGTATAGAACTTTAAGTATTTACCAATAAACTCTTGAGACAATACTTTAGAATGTTTAAGACTGTGGAGTGAAGAGGGATGAGGAAGTCCCAGAGATTAAGTGATACACATAAAAATACAGAGATGGAATGGCTTAGTGAACACTAAAGTGCTATAAAATTTTGTTTCACAGAGTTCTCCCCATGAGATCATGTGCCTTTATAATTAAAGGCTGTTTTTCACATCATTCCCAGAATCTAACAACTAATGCATGATAGGAGTTAAATTTACGTTTGTTGTGTGAATGATACATGTGAAGTAGTAATTGAAGATATGAATGCAAAATGAGTGATGTAGAAAACATTCAATTTCAAGTTCAGACTGCCTTTCCCTGAAAATAAACATTGCATATAAAATCATTTAGTGTCCAAACACTTGAGATTGTACATCTCTGTGAAAAATAGAAAGGATCTACAGTGGTTGCTTTATGACCTCCAAAGTCAATGCATATCTAGACTAAAATAAGAAGCCCCCCAAAATGTAACTTGGGAGCTTTATATCCAGTAAACCTTTTAGAAAACTCATTCAAATCCTTTGCTCATTCCCAATTCCCCTCTGGTTCCCTTGGGAGACCAGATGCTGCTGGAAGCCACTGTAGATGTCAGAGGGAGACAGTCATTTGAACTGAAGGATGCTAAAAATAAAGTGAGCAGTGGGGCCACGTGAAGGATTAGCCATAAAGGACTCGGGCTTTCCTCAGAATTACAGTTATCTCTGAAAAGCTGTTTGAACTGATACTATAAGTGGGAAGAAATTCTGACAACACATCATAAGGGATTTTCATAGAGATTAACTACATTGGTTCATGAAATTCAGATATGTCCAGTGGGTATAGAAAAGGTTAGAGATTTTAAGTCTTATTGAAAATAAAACTATTTAAATGATCAGATCCAAGTTTGGTAATAAGTAATACATTTAAAATCCAACATTTAATTATTTATTATTAAGGCATGAGGTAGGGTGAGACTTACTCTAAACCCTGGCAAAGATTATATGTTTCAAAACCAGAAGAC